AAGCTTGCTGTTAATTAAACTCTTGAGAATTAATACTCGAAGTAAAAAAGAAAACTGTCGTGATACTAAAGAACAAGTCGAAATGAAATGTAATGAATGGAGTTTTACGTCCTACTTTTCTACACCTTGTGGGCTAATGAAGACGGGCAACGACAAGTAAGGTTGAAATGAGGGAAATTTTGCCAGGACAGCGGCCTTAGCCTGCTCTTTTTCGATTTCCAACTGCCGATGGAACTTTAACGTGCACAACCTGTAGCCTCAGTTTATTGTCCCATCCGTACGACTAGACGCTTTTTCCATGCCAGTGCCTCTCACCTGCATCACAGACAGGGGGAAACCGGGTTGAAAAATCCGAAGGTATTATCTCGACCTATGCCGGGATTGAACCCTGGACCTTCAGGTTAGCGAGCAAGCGTCTATCTCACTGAGCCGCCGCGGCACCAAAGAACATGTCTCATATTTACTGTTAGTGTAATAAGTCATAAACACAGTGAAATGATCAATATATTCTCCTGTATTGAAGAGGATTTTTCAGAAATTAATCACACGAATTGATGTTGTAAATAACTATTTCTGTCAATAAGAAGTTTTTCACTGAAGAAAACGATATGTTAAGGAGATCTGGCCTGTTTTTCGCTCAATTTCCACATTCTACTCTCATCAATAAAAAGCTGCTACAAGCTTCTTGAAACCTAATCGTGCAAACATAATAAAATAAAAGAAGTTGTTTGTAGATTGAACGTTTCACCAACTGCTGGCTGCAAGACTGGCGAAGTCACAATTTCTGTTTTTTCCATTTACAATAATTTTCATCAACTTTAAACAAATCATTCTCTCCATTAAGCATGTGAGTCTCCTATATACAATTATTTTGACATTCTTAATAACGAGACGAGGAGAGAATAGACATAATATGAAAAATGGTAGAATTATACAGGTTAAGTGATTGTTAGTATTTCAGTGGAAATTTAATTATATCTACAATGTAGGCGACAATGTGTTATTGGTTGTCTGGAATTTGTCAATTTGTAACAAGGAAGTTGCTATGTCGTGTGACACATACATAGTTGTACTGGTCCGGTCTGGAATGTTATTTGGACAACAATAATAGCAATTGCTGGATCTGCCAGAGAATACCAGAAAATTCACTTCTCTTGTTTACAGCTAAGTTCTTGGCAGAACAGTTGCATAAATCATCTGTCGAAGACCATTGTTTAAAAATTATGTTTAATTTTGTGAATTACTTTAACAGGAAAGAAATATTTGAAGACTTGACCTTATTCATGCTAATTTGATTAAAATTGCTGCATGGTTTGCCAATCTTCTCATTTATTTCACTAACGCCCTTTGTTTTGTTGATGTCGGAAACGATAAAATGACAGATGCAGCTCTCTAATTTCATCTGCAGGTTATTTGTACAAGGGGTTTAAACAGAACTGTGGTCATCAAGAACAAGTTGGTTAAATGCGGTACAGGAAATTCAAATCAGCACGATGGTCTTATGGCGTATATCAGCTTGTTATGACATAATTAGCTTTATAGTATCACCATATATTTTTTGCTCTCACATACTAGCTTTCGTTTTTCAATTCCAAAGACACTACCGGCAAACATTCAAAAGTGTTTGCTGCTAATGACTATAAGTTTGGCTATTAATGTCTGAGCAAATTTTGAAATTTTGAATTTTTACCATTTCTTTTATGAACATTGGAATAGCAGCCAAAAAATAGTACTGTTAGTCTTAGAATGTCTTTGCGTTGATAAAAATGTAAATATATCTCCAAAATTTTGTTCTTAGAGATGACATTTCTTTTTTATCAACGCAAAGACATTCTTAGACTAATAGTACTATTTTGATGCTGAAATTCCAATTCTCTTAAGAAAATCTAGAAAAATATTCAAAAAACTTTTGCTGTTCTCAGACAATAATCTTACTTCTATTGTCACATTTAAAACGTTTTATGTAATTAAACAAATTACTTATGTAGTTATTGATTTAACAACAACGACAAAAAAAAAAACAAAAAAAAACAATAAAAGCTATAACCAGCAACTGTGTGTGGTTTATGTTTCTTATTTAGTTTATGTTTTGCAGTGTATTCATCATAACATGCATTTAGACCAGCTGGTAAAATGAAGACGCACATCTTATTGATAATTATAAATATAAACATTTATATTCAATATACAAGTTTTCACGCCTTTGAATGTTTTCTATAATTAATGGAATACATGTTTGTTAAATAAACACAGTGTCAAATTAAAACCTTGTTAAATATTTTTGTTGTTGAATTGAACAAATGAATTAGTTACACATTAGCACACATGTTAAAGATAAGTATTGCTATAATGTTCCTATGAGTAATACATATCATGTAAACAGTGTCTCTTTCCCAATCCGAAGTCATATTTACAAGGCAATTCTCTGAAATAAGTATCATGTTATTATATTATGTTCTTATACTGAGGACATTATACAGTCTAGGTTCACGGATTATTACATTGTTATAAATTTATAATAACATCCGGTCATTTTGTTATCTTTTCTATCCGAAGCCGGAATATGAGAAATTTATTCATCTAATCTAGAGGGTAAGTGTTAATTTACAATGGATAAACATGCTTACCCTTTTCCTTACACCAGGCCATTTATAACTGTAGCTTTAATAAATAACTTGCGACATTTCGGCGATGGTTTTTTCGTCTTTATCAAGTTATGACTAGACACAACTACATGTATATATATAAAAATAACTTTATTAAATAACTTGCGACGATTGGATCGTTGAGTAATAATGATGAAAGTATCCTGGTCAAAGTTTTTATTTTATTAAATTAATTTTTATCCATATAATCGTGTCCACTTATCTGTTCTCAAAATGTTAAATGTCATTCTAGGAAGAGAAGTCGGTTTATATTGTGATGTATGTTATCTTTTATCTTGCTGTATGATGATATATAATTTATAAAGTATATTATAAGGATATAGTAGAAAGAATGTTATAGATTGTTTATGATGATCAAAATAGAGTGATAATTGTATATACCAGACAGAATAGGTTATAAAGAACCTCACTTTATGAAATATATACAACATCATAAATTATACTTCTTACTGTTTCGAACTCTTTCTTACCATTGAGCATGAAGAAGAAAATGAAAACGTTTCGTTTCGAATTTCACTTAACTTATGATTTGTGTAATTTAACTTTCTGGGCCATTTGAAAATTCCAACATAAATTTCGTTTTATCTTCTTCAGCTGATGAATTAAAGTCAACAATATGAAAAATGACACAGCAATGCTCATTATTCATTCTTTTAACTCTCTTGTATGCATCTTTTAAACTGTCAGTATTTTTTGCTCCAGCGATTGAAGAGATAATCATATGTAAGATAAAGATAAAAATAGATATCTTCTCGACATTATCACAACCTGTATATTATGCTATCAAGCTCATCTGAAACAAATTCAGTTTTGGTTTGAAAGACTGAAGTCAGCAAAGTACATAAAATTCCCTTGGTAGAATGTCGTTAAATTTCTCACATATTCCTTGGTTTGTCTATCAATCAACAAGCCTTGTATGTTAGAAGATGTGTGAAACTGGCTGTCAGTGGAATATCTCACATTACACCTTACAAAGCATTCCTCTGATAAGTAAAATAAACATGTTTAGTGTAGAAACATGAGATTTAAGGATAGGAGTGTCGAGATCAAGAAGTAAGGAGTCAGAGAAAATTGCTTTTTTGCAGCTTTTATTCATCTACACACTATGATGCTGATAAGGTAACATTGAGTGAACATTTTCACATCGTTGTTGCTATCTTCTTTGCGTCAACCATTATTTGTGCCTGGCGATGAGTTTAAGGTCGGTCTTCATGAAGGAACTTTCCCGGAGATTCAAAAGTACGCAGTGCGGCATGAAAGTGTAACAGTTATCCTTGTGATAAGAACGCTTATCCAGTTATAATGGCCATTGGTCTTTGTTCTAAGCCTATTAAGAAATATATGAGATATATGATATACCTTTCTTCAATACCAAATGATTGATGTTTTGGGAGGTTAAGTGTAATGGTTGGCTCAATATCATACATTATTGTGCTGTTATTAATGGCTATATTCCAAGTAGATCTGGAATTCAAAAGAGCTCAAGGATAAAAAGGATCAACTTTAGGCAGCAATTTTAGACTCTACGCATTAGATATATATTATGATAGCAATTAGTAAACATCGAAGGAGTCTTGTATAAGTTCTCAGTTTAGCAATATGCCATATAATGTATATTTATAATATGTACTATGGGAAATTTCAGAAGTGAAGAATTTAATAATCATTAATTTTTGAATTTAGAAAAAAGAAATTTTACTATCCATCAAGATTGGTCTATATGTTACCGTTATATAGGCCAGTCGACTTCATTTGATTTCGAGGTGAATCGATTGTACTTTCGAACACTAAATATGCGCCGCGTTATTTTTAGTTTCAGTAACTTCTCGCCTACATATTGGCATGGTTTTATACTGAAATAGAAAGTAAAAAAAGGAAGTAAGTATAAAAGAAAGAATGAAATTGACCAGAAACAACAAGTGAGATACAGTCTGCTGTTGATTTATAGGAGGTATTGTGGTGTACTTATTTCTGTGATTTCAATTAAATCTACATTAGATTACTTCTGTACATGTCTTATACACATTAAACCATACTACGAAATTAGCAGTTAATTAGTTAAAATGTGGTTTACTATTAAATTTCTAATGGAAGTTCAAAATTCAACAGTTTTTTTTTCCTTCAGATATGATTTAATTCCAACGAATTGTTGAATTCGGTAAACAATTCAGCAAGACTGTAAGACTGCAAGATAGCAAGACTGCAAGATTTGAATTGTGCTCGACAACAGCTACGAAAGTGAAAAGACTATTGCAAGACGAAACTTGTGAAGATAAAGTTATTTTGAGTTAAAATAAGACAAAATCACATTGCCATTAACAACTTTCAAAAGTCTCTACTTTCACAATGCCTTTAACAAATAAACAAATCTCTACTTTCACAATGCCTTTAACAAATAGACAAATCTCTACTTTCACAGTGCCTTTAACAAATAAACAAATCTCTACTTTCACAATTCCTTTAGCAAATAAACAAATCTCTACTTTCACAGTGCCTTTAACAAATAAACAAATCTCTACTTTCACAATGCCTTTAGCAAATAAACAAATTTCTACTTTCACAATGCCTTTAACAAATAAACAAATCTCTACTTTCACAATGCCTTTAACAAATAAACAAATCTCTACTTTCACAATGCCTTTAACAAATAAACAAATCTCTACTTTCACAATGCCTTTAACAACTTAACAAATCTCTACTTTCACAGTGCCTTTAACAACTTAACAAATCTCTACTTTCACAATGCCTTTAACAACTTAATAAATCTCTACTTTCACAGTGCCTTTAGCAACTTAACAAATCTCTACTTTCACAATGCCTTTAACTACTTAACAAATCTCTACTTTCACAGTGCCTTTAACAACTTAACAAATCTCTACTTTCACAATGCCTTTAAAAACTTAACAAATCTCTACTTTCACAGTGCTTTTAACAACTTAACAAATCTCTACTTTCACAATGCCTTTAACAACTTAACAAATCTCTACTTTCACAATGCCTTTAACAACTTAACAAATCTCTACTTTCAAATTGCCTTTAACATCTTAACAAATCTCGATTTTCACAATGCCTTTATCAACTTTACAAATCTCTACTTTTCACTACAACAATGGCTTTAACAACTTGGCAAATCTCTACTTTCCCAATGCCTTTAACAACTTAACAAATATCTACTTTCACAATGCCTTTAACAACTTTACAAATCTCGATTTTCACAATGCCTTTATCAACTTTACAAATCTCTACTTTCACAATGCCTTTAACAACTTTACAAATCTCGATTTTCACAATGCCTTTAACAACTTTACAAATCTCTACTTTTCACTACAACAACTTTTTGCAATCACAATGCCTTTATTACCAACAAATCTCAACTTTCACAATGCTATTACTAATGTAACAAATCTCTACTTTAGACAATGCCTTTTATTAAACAATTTGGATTAGAATGATGCAATAATAATTCATGCGTGGCTATAATGTCGATATATATTGAACGTATCCCATATTATATTCATTGTAGATATTATCCATTACAGCACCAATAAACAAGTACACCCCGTGGATTAATAACCTGAATTCCTGTTGATTTAGATTGCGTGTTAATCTTTAATTTCATGCATTTTGAATAATGTCTATGAAACAAATCGATATCATTGTCATTGAATGACATTCTTTGTTATCTAAACCAACCTTATAGAAACAACCATGACATTTTTAATAGTGAATGCATGAATGAGAATAATTATTATCATTATATCAGTAAAACACATTCTTGTAATCACTATCAGTAAAATCATAACACAGGGAGCAATTTTTAACATTATGATTAATGATTCATTATCTGATCGACTTTATTCTATCGAAATGCAATAAAATAACCATGTGAATCTAAAACATGCCGTTTTCCTTGGTACAATAAACCGCCGAAGTCAAACGTTGTACATGATAAATATTCAAAACTAACAAAATTCTCTATTGCACTATTTTGGAAAACAGTGGAAAACGTTACCGTTATCAATTACCATTGCATATTGTTGAAATTTAATACGTTGTGATATCACCCACTACCTATATCTATAAAATACGTTGTGATACCACCCAGTACTAATATCTATGAAACACCCTCCAGAAATTTTCTGGGATATCTAAGTATCTCTTCGACAGCTTTCTTGATCATGGTATTGGCATAAATATGTTATTGTAACATTTACAAAAACGTCGTTAAGGTTAGACCTTTTTGGATTGTTTCTCAGATGAAAGCTTGAGCCACTCTAAAAGACTGTTAATAGTTTATTGAAGCGTATGATTCAAATATACAAAAAAAATGTATTGCAACACCCAGATATTATGTGACCATGTTAACAAATATGATACAGAGGCAATCCTGAAATATATGAAATAAGAATGTCCTATATACCATTCTGGTGAGATGCATGTCTACGATCTACGGCACAAGGAAATCATGTATAACCAATTGTAAAACATGTTTGGGAATTGAGCAAAGGTAACAAGTCATTGTTTTTTTACTCTGTTACGAGAGCACCTCAGACTAATATTGTCTAGGATCGGCATTTTCTTTTTGCACCAAGCACTGTTATGAAAAAAGAGTGGTTGCCTAATCGTCGCATATGCCACAAAACTGTCTTTAATCGACTTACAGTTGATGCCGAGATGCCGGGAACGTAAGGATAGATGATGTATTAGATAGTAAATAGGTCCTTAAGAGTAACCGCACATATTCTGTCACACCCAGTGTCCCGTTGATTCAACTTACTATCTTTACAACTAGGTACCACACAATAAGGCTGGTATTGGTAACCACGCTAGCTAATTTTGCCTTTGTATTTTCATTTGAACGCCACCTCATTGCCTGAGCGCCCCCACTTGTGACCCGTGGCGCTTCCGCCTATGATCAATTTCAACACTAGTGCCAATAGTCATAAAGGTTGCTTTTGAAATTTCTTACAACTTTTGAGGCAATACTAATTATTTGAGTTATTACGTAATTAAATTTTATTTTGTAGCATTAAATAAATAAGCAGTTTATTCACATATTTTTACATGAAGTTTGTTTTCAGTAAAAGAGCATGAAATACTGTTATCGTCTTACACCAATACGATTTTTGTTTATTAAAAGTGACCGAGGCATGAAGAAATGTCAATCAAGAACAGCTGTATGGAAGTAGTTGAAAGAAATCCAGTGACAGCTAGGAAATAAAACGTCTAAACCAGAATAGCATTCACTGTTCAACATGGAACTTTTGCCCTAGGCCAGTTTATCTAAAAGGTGAATTAAGATAATTGATTTCTGTTTGAGGAGAACTAGCCTTTGCCATTTGTACAGTTATAATATTGCGAAGACGAAGTATTGTTCTATGTGTTCTGACCATGTCTAGACTTTAAATTGGAATTTAACTATACACTTGACAATGCTGTTATTGATGTTAGCTTAATTATAATTTAATTAAACTAATTCTTGTCCACTTGCAATTTTAAACAGCAATCATTTGTTCCTGTTATGTTATTTTTTTAAGTGCGATAATAGTTTCAATATAACAATGCACTATATAGTATATAGGCAGTGCTGTTCCAGCGTACAATTTAATCCTGCTCAAAAGAATATATCGTCTTTTCACTACTCCTTTATATGAAATACATAATAGAATTTTTTTTTAAACTTAACTTTGAAATCGTTTCATAAAAATAATAATCAGTGAACCTGATACACTCTTCCTGTGTTTGTCCTGTGAATTGTCACAACGCATGCCTGAAAAAATGTCTAGAAACTAAATGTTAAACATCGCTCCCATGTGTATATTTTTATTAAATGCAATTCATATGAAAAATAAGCATTGTAATTTTGAGCAAATATCCCAATCACAATTAAATAATCGATGAAAATATGAAAACGTTGATCACCTCCAAACAAGAGCATGACATGATATTTGGATAAAGAGGAAAACGGATTCTTTAACAAGAAATATTGAGATGTTTATAAATATTTGATGACTCACTTGGCTAGAAGACTATCTGTTCGCTTAATACAAATAACCTAGTAATTATTTTTATCGTAAAGTCCTAATAGGTATGGCAGACATAATTATTCTTATAATATGTCACATAAAAAAAGCTATGAGTCTTTTGACTCTCTGTTCTCGTAATCCAAGGCTAAATATCTACAAGAGGACATTATTGAAATAAATATTAAGATAAATCATAAAGCAATGCTTTAAAAGCGGAAGCAGGTCGTTCTGATAATATACAGTTAAGAAACATTAAATAGTGTGTGGGATAACAGTCAGTAATGCTATGGAAGATGTGTGGGTTAACAGTCAGTATTGCTTTGGATGATAATGATGCATAATGGGATTATCATTGGGTGAGTTATTACTTTATCTGGTGTCAGATCACAATATACCAGTTTCAGACCACTTATTCCAATGTCTCAATGAAGTATTTGTTCCACTATAGGCCTGTATATTTGGGGTAAATCAAACACTCTCATCCCCCGAATATATGGATTTTCTTTTTGACAAGGAATTTCATAGCTGTCATGGATAAAATTTGTGGTTGCGATAAGCCCCTTTTTGTGATTTACCCTTTTTTAAATATATATCTATAAATTCAAGCGATATTTACTGATTGATTACAAACTGTCCAGTAGTAATATGTCACCTTGGTTATAAATGGGATACATTAATCTTTGTTGACCCTGAACATATTAAAAGACAAAGTTTCCTTGTGATTTATTGTGGTTAATAGTCTAATACTTGTCTGAAGAATGGAAGAAATTAATGGACAAATGGCACTAATAGATGGTTGACCCAAAGACTGAACGTCTAATTTATAGAACTTTACCATTTGTTTTATATTAGTATGACATTATTATTATTGTGTGAAGTCGGTTGTCCGAAAATATTCTCTATTACTTTTTCGATAGGAAATTTTCAACAGCTGTTTTCAAGTTTCGAACAAAAGTAGTTCGACAGTGAAAGGGAGGTAAAATGTTAAATGTTGCCGATTTAGACCGCAATTGTATAAACTTCGCACTTTGTTCTGTAACAAATGCATCATTTAAACAGTTAACTTTATTGATTATTGGAAATTGCTTTTCCTTGATGTCGTTTTTGGGGATATTATTTTATTTATCAAAAAATTGTTTCTGCCAACATTTTTGAATTTGTCTGCATCATTTTGATTGCATTTAACATTTCGAGTTTGAAAATGTACCATAACAATACTTGAAACACAAACAAAAATAAAGACCTATTTATTTAGCAGAAATCATTCATTATCAAATTCAAATACGGAAAAAAATTATGTTCTTCCACTATTGGTTGATGAATTATCCAATCATTTTTATCTATTTTACAAATCTTCAATGTTGAAGTAGGAAATGTTATAAATAAACTTATACGCCTATAATAATCACTTAAGGCTATTATGCTATACATATAATTATCTGTACCCATAATATAGTGAGTGAAACATACAATTTATAATTGTATAATTTTGAAAGTATGAAAGGTGACAGAGTCTCTTTAAAAGGGTTCGTTCAATATTACACAAGTCTTAGTGTAAATCTGGTATGATATCATCTACAGCTTAACGTTAACCAGATTAATATAAATACTAATAAATAGTGGACAAGGCTAGAGTCAAATCAGTAGATCTCATTTAATGTAAGAAGGCAGAGGTTTTTTATCTATGTATTCGGTTTAACTTTTTGTAGTAAAACACGCCGTATTGTAGAAGTATGTGAAGGATGGCTGTAAAGTTTTAGGACTAACTTTGCAAGACAAATATCAGGTCGATGGTTTTCATTTATTTATCTACACAGCAAACGTTTGTTTCAATCCGATTGAAGTATACAACTTAAAGTAAGAACTCATTTACGTCCATAATGGATATGCGTTAGATTATGGAAAATCATTACCATTTCAGAACATCCAGACATCATGACGTCAACAAGTAACAGTTCGCCACTAGGATGGAGGACGTCCAGCAACTTACATCATCTAAGGAGAGTCAAACCTTCCCAACATACCGGAATGCATGTCAACTTACATAGAAATTTGAATCCAAGGTTTCTACCAAAGGGACAACCGAAACAACCGTCAAATTTAACACCCAGGGTAGCTGAAAATATTGTATACAGACAACGTGTTAGAGGCAGATTAACAGGGTTACCTAAACCAGATAAAGAATTCTATTTGATTAAAGTTCAACCGTGTGATGATGTGGACTCATCTAGACATAGTAGCAGTAGCAGTAGCAGTAGCAGAAGCAGTAGCAGTAGCAGCAGCAGCAGCAGCAGCAGCAGCAGCAGCAGTGATTCTAGTAGTGATAGTAGCAGCAGTAGTAGTCATGATACTAGCAGCGAAAATGGTGATGGTGGTAAGAGTGGTAGCAATGGTTCTCTCGATAGATATTGTGATATTGATAATGATAATGATGATGACTATTATTATGAAGATGTTCAATCGTTATACTCAGAAAACAGAAGACGCCAATATAATCAACAAATTATTGACAATGTTGTAGAGCGATTGTATCCTTCTAAACGCTATGCACGGAAATATGTTACGAGAACGCCAAATTAGACATAATTTCATAAACTTTGAAAATGATTTATGGACATCTGACATCTCGATGATTGTACAACATCCAGAACATTCAAAAGAAACTCATACATCATGTATTTGTATGAAAGTCTTTTTTATGATATTTAATTTTACATTTTAGTGTATGTCAACTCGGCATCCCTTTCGAAGAGACCATAAAGCTAACTATTATTTGGTATATTTATTATGTTACATAAACTTTGTCTCCGCAAACATGCGCATCTGGTTCATAAATGAAATTCTAATATCTGTACTTAAGACTTAAGTGTACTTAGTCGAAATTCCTGAGCTAAAATATTTTGCTATTTTCCGATATTATTATTGATATTTGCACAATCTTCTTACAGTATACGCATTGTCAATATTAGTTAAATTGATTAAAGAAGGTTAATAATAGAAAAGAATGTATGTTGAATGTTGAAAATGGAAGATAATTATTGACCACTGATCCAGTCAGTAGGTTTTGACTTTTATTTACAATAAAATATTTTAAGAATACTAAAATTTTAGTAGGTCATTTTTCCAATTTTAACATCACGACTAGTAATTGCCTATTAATATTACTGTACTCTTAATAAATTTATTTTCGTGTTTCTTCAATAAGTATTTCCTTGAATTATCATAATGCCCACGGACATACAATTTTTCAATATAAACAATTGCGCATACCAGTGGGTATTAAGAACCATCTTGAATTTTACAGGCATGATGAAGTGTAGTTGGTTTATTCAAATTGGATTATTCATTTCGCATCTGATGTGCGGAAGATGTAAACGCTTTTAAAAGCCGCATCCACGTTTACTGTTGGAAATACTGCTTTACAATCACAAATACGTTATCCAGAAATATTTTACCTCCAAACAAGATAGATGTTCTAATTGGAAATGAAACGTTATCATCTACGTTTCGACTAAAAACAACTTCTACTGTTGTCTCTAGATTTAACTACCTTTTCATGGACCAAAAGAAATCTCGACTAGTGCCCTCCCATGTTGTAAAACGTAAGTAGAATGCTCTCATTATGCCGTTTCTATATGAGGTGTACCTCTTCCAAATGATATATACGTCTAAAAATTTTATGGGCACAAACCCTTTGTAATTGTCATCCTTCGATAAGCCTTACTAAAGTTATGCAAAATCTGGGTATATAGATATTGTGGTGAAATCTTTTCAGGAAATTAAACAGAGATTAATCGATTAATGTTGACCGTAATGTTTTTACTTCCCATCAGACAGTTTATTGTTACTATGATAAAATTTGTTATGGCTATCATATCATCTGCTTTTAAGCCAAGAAGTACGAGAAATACACGGGAGGTGAGAGGGTTCCCAACCATGGTCAATTTAACTGTAACACTGTACTTACATATCCGACCAAATTTACACTATTTTCAGAAAGTGTTTTATTTGTTTTTGTAGAAAAATGGACATTACGCAGCCCATGGAAGTCACTTCCTACACTGGCGAATCATACACTGTCAAACAATATCCCAATTGTTATCAGCTTCTTCACACAGGAGTGTGTGAAACGTAAGTTCTTCTTAACCAATCTCATAGTGTGTAGGTGTCGAACTCCCTACTTTCTACTCACAACAGCATTTCTGTTTTGACCATTTGCTCTTATATATAATTGTTCGGATGGGACAATAAACCGCGGCCTCGTGTGCCACAGACTTTGCACGTTAAAGCCCCGCCCCCCCCCCCCCCCGAAAAAGAGCAGGCTAATGCCGATATCCTGGCAAAATTTCCCTCATTGCACTCTGCATGGCGTTGCCCGTTTCCATTAGCCCATTTGGTGCAGAAAAGTAGGACGTAAAACTACTACATTTTTCCAGATATCAATTTTCTTATCATCTGGTCATTATTATTTGTATTATAATGAGGGTGGCAGCTGTCAAAATGGTGCAGGTGTCTGTGTACAACGTTATCTCTATGTGTGGGTTTTGGTTCAAAGTAATTCAGGAACTGTAGATTTCTTTGCACCATGTGAGGTACCCAGTTTTTGTGATTGTGCTCCTTTATGAGTCCTACATTCTGCTTTGTAATATTTGTTTGATTAATTGTGTAAAAGCGAAGAGAAAGATCAGAATCTCAACTTTGGCATCCCCTTAAAAATATCTTCGTAACGTGCAAATAAAATCAAAATATCGCCACCTTTGTGATCAACGATTTGGTAAAGATTATTCTGAATCATTCTTCCGATATTGTTTAGTAGGCATACTCGTAATCTTGGTACTATAAATTGAAATTGCTATATTTAGTGTATCCAAATGAGAGCGATGGAAGACAGCGTCCAATACTCTTTAATCCTGATCTATTTAGTCGATGCTCTTGTCAGTTATTAGCCTAGTAAATGTTGGTCTCTTCACTTTATTTACCAACATCTCACAAAGTCCTTTGTCATAACAAATCAGAGCCGGTACTTACACCCTGTTAAACTATTGTATATAAGATTCGTCGAAAAAACCTGTCTTATATCACGCTATCAATGCGCAACTGGTGATCTCTACGATGTGAGGGCACCTTAAAAGATGCTAATTTGTTTCTCAAATCGTCATGTCACATCAATTATTATTCCCTATAACTATTATATTGTTTTGCAATAACCATCACCATGGGAAACGACAACAGTCCAACTGTTTCGAATCCGGTTTTTGTTCAGAATTAAAAGACCTTTTTGCAACAGTTTCCGAACTATATTATACAATTTCAGTGTTTATTAGGGGTTACATTACTTCACCACGGTATATCTACACTGTACAGTTTTCTAAAACTTTTAATTAAAATCACTATATACATTATTCATGCTAAACCAAATGACAGAAATAAAAGTGATTCTATATGCTGTATACATTTGCACATTTATTTGTTAGTGACACGTCTGTGAAATAAATATGTAGTTCTAATTGAAAGTACGTGTACATTCCTTACCACAACCAAGAAAATATGACTCCAAGATCTCTAATAACCCCGTAACTCCGGACTTCGACCATGTGCGATCTTATGGCGACTGGAAATGTACTTGGACGTGGTCAATCGCGAGGAAAACTAGAGAAAAGTCTCTAAAAAATTGCAAACTTAATAACAGTCGACCTAATACCGCGACTTATGCGACCACATTGCGTTATAGAGTTTTTATCACATGTGTTAGATCGACAAATGTTGGCGCTTGCTGCGCACATATCCAAAATAAACGCCGTGATTCTGCGATTAGTGGCGACAATTGCACGATGTTTGGCGTGTCCTACACACTCAACACGCTCTTGAGTCTATCGAGAGTAACGAATATATATTCTGTAATAGCCCCGTGACGTGCGTCGTAACATCTCCATAAACGCTTTCAAAATAAAATGGGACTTCTTATCTCTCGCGTTCTTCAGATTTGCCTGCAAATTAGAGGTCAATTCCTATTGCATACGAATGTTGATCATTCGCTTTGGCATGCTTCAATGCAATTTGAAGTTAATGCCGCTGTCGATTTTTTTTTCTCGCAATCGCAAAGATTGTTCGCAGGGCCAAGTACCACATGGTATCAGACAATCACAGCTCCTATTGATAAAATGTTAGTATGTTTTGGTCATTCCCATTAGTCATTTGTCGATCATTTGGATCACATATTGTATTGTTCTTTATCTTTTAGCCAATATGCGGAGTGAAATATTTCAGTGATGTAGAAAAAAACGACATTAAAAATAAATGTGTTCGTAAAATTCACAGCAAAAATAATAAGCAACAGTCACAATTAAAATCTTTGTTTTGAAGCCTGGTTAAATTACGCTGCGACTATGTAAATATTGCATGCAAATTTTCGCGGTCGGCAGTCGCTGTGACGCTCTGTCGATTCCTTTTCATTCAAACTTCCTAATTCGGTTATCAGCGGTTCCATATATAACACAGAAGCGTATATAAACATAACCTGCATAATTTTGTGTTATTGTAGTGTTTCGTAGGTAGGGGAAGGTAGAGTTCTATCAAGTGATTCATAAGGACCAGTTTCTAGTTGTACATTCTCATATGAAGGTCTGGTAGTTTCTGTATTATCTGAAAATCTTACAATTCTTTCATTTAATTTATTTCGTTCTTGTCTGAAAATAAACCCGCAACACTTTTACGGTACACTATAATTATTTTAATGACGTAGTAAAACATTAAAGCTGATTATAATCAGTGTGTTCAACATAATTGTTATATAAGCAAGTGACATAAAAAGTATATTTGTATGATAATAAATTAATGTATCTCATTATGCTCTAAACAAATGTGAAAATGTTACCTTCTTCTGACTAGACAGTATATGACGATCACAACCAATAGTAAAATTGTTGCACTCAAAGCACCAATTATCCCAGTAACTAGTGGTGATATTCCAAACACAGATCCTAAAGTGTAAATATGTGTAGTTTTTTTTATACAAGGTATATCTTTAATAGTGTTCAAGGCGATAATACGAAATTTCGAGTGGTCGAGTGCATTTTTATCGTTCGAAATTGATCACAGATATACTGGTAATAGTAAAATGGCCACAAAAGCAAAATAGCCGCAGTGATTTGGTCACAAAATGGTAATATGGTAAACTATCGATTAGTTGAGTGATCGTATGACCGTTACCAATTTTCCAAAATGTTGTATTCTCTTTAACTTGACCGTCTTCATTAGCCCACATGGTGTAGAAAAGTAGGACGTAAAACTCCATTCATTTCATTTCATTTCTCTATTTAACTTGGGACCAATTTACTGTGAAAAATTTGCCCGTGAACAGTTTTCCGTGTCTAATTTCATGTGACCAAATTTCCAAATGTGACCCTTTATATACAGACTTAGTATAGAGGATTGTTCTAACCTATTTCTTGTTTGCAGTGTTTCCCACTTTTACCATCAATACAACCATCTAAACAATCTCCTGTAGCTTGATCACATCTATTGATACAATTACTATTACACTTAGTTTGACATTGATTACCATACCATCCTGTATTACAACTTGTACATTGATTATTATTACAACTAATACAGTTATCTAGACAGGTATCCTGACAGTAATAACCTTTATATCCATCTATACAACCAGTTGTACATTTTCCGGTAGTAATATTACAGGCTGGTTTAGAGTTAACTTTCTTACAAGTGTTATTACAAAGTTTATCACAAGATATACCATAAAGACCTGGTTTACATTCCTTACAGATATTACCATCGGTTTGTAAACAAATAGTACAATTACTATTACAATTACCATCACATTGAGAACCAGTTTTACCATTCATACACCCAAATCTACACTGACCATTTCGTAAACATTCATTATTTATACATTTATCATTACATTGCTGTTTACAATAGTCACCATAGTAACCAGCATTACATTCTAAACAACTTCCTGATGATTTCTGACATCCGCCATTACAGTTTATGCTACAATTCTGGTTACAATTATCACCAAAATACCCCTCATTACATTTACCACAATTACCTGTACTTCTATCACAATCACCATTACAATGTATACTACATTTTTGGTTACAATTATCACTAAAATAACCAGATAGACAACTGTTACAATATCCATTACTTCTATTACAACTACCATAACAATTTTTACTACAATTTAAATTACACTTTTCACCATATATTCTGTTTATACATCCACTGATACAAGACCCATTTCTATCACAAGTTGTAGAACTTGTATCACCAATACATCCATTGCTACAAGACCTCTCACAATTATCACCAAAAGTACCGGGAATACAGTCAATACATCTTCCACCGACACCATTACATTCACCATTTAAACATTTATCTGAACATCTTTTAGAACATACAGGACCATGGTATTTCGGATTACAACTTTCACATGTTCCTTCTTTTATCTTACATTTATCACATTGTTCTGGACATTTTAGCTGACATTCAGTTCCATAGAATCCTTTACTACATTCTGTACATGAACCATCAAACCTATTACAAATAGGACAACTTGACGGACATTGTTTATCACAGTATAGTCCTTTATATCCTGCTACACACCCCCTTATACAGCTGTTATAACCGACGGATATTTCATTACATAAACTATCTACACAGTTAGAACTACATTGTTTACTACAATTTGTACCATAATAAGTTGATTTACATTTACACGAACCATCTATATTACATCCATCTAAACATCCCTTATTACAATTCTTATCACATACATTACCATAAACACCTTTATTACATTTATTACAGTAACCAGTGTCTTGTTTACATCCATCATTACATCTTTCATTACATTTATCATTACAACTATCACCATACCAACCAATGCGACAACCAGGATTATTACAATTACCATTATCTATATCACAACCACTTGATTGACAATTCGGACAGGTCTTAGTACAAGATGTTCCCCACAATCCTTCTTTACAACCATTGTTACAAACACCATTATTTTTATTACACGTGTCTTTACAGTTAGAACAATCTAATTGACAGTCGGTACCATATTTACCAGGTATACATTGATTACAATTACCATTACTTTGATTACAATTACCATCACAATTACTGTTACATTTGTTATTACAGGTAGTACCATACCAACCAGTTCGACAGCCAATAGCAATGCATAGACCAGAGTTCATTACACATCCTCCTGGATTACAGTTAGAACATGTTTGATCACATAATCCTCCTGGTCCCCAATATCCTTCATCACAGCCAGAAGTACAGTAACCGTCTGATTGTCTACACCTACCAGAACATTTTAGAGAACAGAAACTACCACAGCTAATACCATATCGTCCCTCAATGCATTCAATACATGTAGAATTATCACATACTTTACAAACACTGCAATCAAACTCTGGAAAGAAAGAAAAATCTTTACTTAAGCAAAGTGGTATGGAATAACTGATTGTAACGATTGATAAAAGTCATACCCAATGTCTGATAATATGATGCAGAACATGACAGATACCCTTTGTTTTTTAATTACCCATTTTAAAAGAAATTCAGTTTGATCTAATTGATACATAAAATAAACTATTATGATATAGGTGTCTTTTAATTTACAGTGATTTATAATAATGAGAAATATTCATACCGGTCCTTTGATATTATATTCAAAGTATTTTTTGTATTATTATGAAAAAAACTTACGTTGCACTGTTGCTCTAAAAAATGAAAGGCAAAGTAGAATCTCCAGAATTTTCATCATTTTGGTGAATGACTCGTTGATTAAATAAATTGGACATAAACCTTCACATAACATTAATTCCGTTTCTATGCATGAATTATGCAGCTAAAACCACTTAAATATCAATACACTACAGTATTGGTCTATTATTCTTCAGAGAACAAAAGAAGTCTATACTCTCTTTTTAAACAATTGTATTCGTCTAAAATGGTAACGATTACAATAATAAATATGTCAAAATTATTTATAAAGATTTGACAATCCTTTAAGTTTAGAGCTTAATTTAATAGGTTCTCTTATCTGTTATGTCACGAAAATGAGTCAAACTAAGCGTTTGATGACGTCACTACCACCAAATCTGCCTATATCATATGTGATAGTGAGGTCATAAAAAGTTTTAATGGAATGGATTTGCAGGAATCACAAACATCTGACGTCGAAGAGTATCCCTGATACATGTACATATAAAGTTATACTCTTTACCTGGTTACCTGTTTACAATCCCCTTAAATTACGTAACCCAACTAAATACTTGTCAAAAAACTATTAAAAATATTGAAGATGGTCAATTTTCTAAACTCGGGTTGTACATTGTTGTATTTTGTCGGAACTATTATCCTTATAATGAGTTTAGATATGTGTTTTGATCCATAAAAACGGTAGCAATCCGGAATTTTGTTCCTTAAATGTACCAAAAGATGGGTATATTTTTACCTAATATTAACATACATTAATAAAATATTTTCACTGTTAAAATAGTGCTCAATTGTAGAGCGATAATCATGTTGTTACTCAGGGTTTCAGACAACTGGCCTATTTTCAGGCCGAGTGCCCATTTTAATATTTCTAATATTAACATATATATCTAACATCTTTAACGAAATTACAGCTTTGTAGGTTGAATCACTTTCAATTATCGGCATTTTAAATTTGACTTTGTTTACAATTGAATCAATACCGTCAGGGACTTCTGTATTTAACGAACTTCTGAACAAATATCCACTGCGGTAACTATTTTCAGCACAAACTTTCCGTTACGATTTGCGGCATCTATGGCAATTTGCTTATTGAATTTCGTCATTCGTCAAGCAGTATATTAGTCCATTTCTCCCTTGTGTTGTCGTCTATCCTCTGAAGACAGCCTACTGTGAACTCCATTTGTAACGTTTTGGAAACAATGCTCGACAGTTTTAATATAAAATGATGTATTCATACCCCCCATGCCCTAATGGATTACAGTTTATGGGATTCTGGGAAATCTTGCTCTTTTACGTAATTTCTGGAATCGTCAAAGTTTTGATGTCTTAGCAGAAACAATTTGCACCAGACTTGCATGGTCAAATTTATCGTTACTTATGAGATAAATAGTTTATGTCATAAAGATTATGGTGACAAGAAAGAGATCATATAATGTCCTAGAACCATTGGTAAGATATAACTACACACATACAAGGAACAATAATTTCAGACATAAAAGCCCCATATTTTTTAATGCCGTTACATGAAGGCCATTAACCATTAACCATTAGTTGTAACAATGCAAATATTAAAAATCTAATTGATATTCGTGTATAGACCATACATTAGTTGTAAACGTTGTTAAAATATAACCCCTTTCCAATAATAGAACAAACCATTTAAATTCGTTAATCGAATCGAACCTTACCTAAAAATTATTTTGTTTGGATATATAATAACAATAAAATCAGTATAATGATATTTCTTTTATTTGTGTGTCTATTCATTATTCTATGTTTATATGTGTCAGTAACTTGTAAAACAGATTTTTGTGAATAAGTAGAACGTTCCCATAAAACTACCTATGATTTATTAAACAGAATGAAATGTTCCGCCATAATGTTGGATTGTGTCCTTTACTTAAACAGATTTGTAACAAAATGACAGGAATTCAAACAGTAGCTTTTTGTATAATTTTGAATATATGGATAATCTGTGTATCTGCACGTAAGTAGTAAATGTAGTTGTAAATTTATTTTAAAATGTTTTTATCTATAACAATCACAAATAGCACCCATTGATCGTCACATGGAAATGTACGATAATGTCTTTCATACTTTTCGTTAGTTATCCTGCAAAATCCATGTGTACTAAGTATTTCAGTGCTATGTATTGACATGCTCACGTTTCGTTTTATAACTTATAAATACATAAATATATTCCTATTGCAAATATACATTTTTTCCCAGAATGCGATTCCAGTGTTTGTAAAGTATGTGATAATTCTACATGTATTGAATGCATTGAGGGACGATATGCTATTAACTGTGGTAGTTTCTGTTCTCTGAGATGTTCTGGTAGGTGTAGACAATCAGACGGTTACTGTACTTCGGGCTGTGATGAAGGATATTGGGGACCAGCAGGATTATGTGATCAAACATGTTCTAACTGTAATCCAGGAGGATGTGTAATGAACTCTGGTCTATGCATTGCTATTGGCTGTCGAACTGGTTGGTATGGTACTACCTGTAATAACAAATGTAACAGTAATTGTGATGGTAATTGTAATCAAAGTAATGGTAATTGTAATCAATGTATACCTGGTAAATATGGTACCGACTGTCAATTAGATTGTTCTAACTGTAAAGACACGTGTAATAAAAATAATGGTGTTTGTAACAATGGTTGTGAAGAAGGATTGTGGGGAACATCTTGTACTAAGACCTGTCCGAATTGTCAATCAGGTGGTTGTGATATAGATAATGGTAATTGTAATAATCCTGGTTGTCGCATTGGTTGGTATGGTGATAGTTGTAATGATAAATGTAATGAAAGATGTAATGATGGATGTAAACAAGACACTGGTTACTGTAATAAATGTAATAAAGGTGTTTATGGTAATGTATGTGATAAGAATTGTAATAAGGGATGTTTAGATGGATGTAATATAGATGGTTCGTGTAAATGTAAATCAACTTATTATGGTACAAATTGTAGTAAACAATGTAGTTCTAACTGTGTAGATAGTTTATGTAATGAAATATCCGTCGGTTATAACAGCTGTATAAGGGGGTGTGTAGCAGGATATAAAGGACTATACTGTGATAAACAATGTCCGTCAAGTTGTCCTATTTGTAATAGGTTTGATGGTTCATGTACAGAATGTAGTAAAGGATTATATGGAACTGAATGTCAGCTAAAATGTCCAGAACAATGTGATAAATGTAAGATAAAAGAAGGAACATGTGAAAGTTGTAATCCGAAATACCATGGTACTGGATGTTCTAAAAGATGTTCAGATAAATGTTTAAATGGTGAATGTAATGGTGTCGGTGGAAGATGTATTGACTGTATTCCCGGTACTTTTGGTGATAATTGTGAGAGGTCTTGTAGCAATGGATGTATTGGTGATACAAGTTCTACAACTTGTGATAGAAATGGGTCTTGTATCAATGGATGTATAAACAGAATATATGGTGAAAAGTGTAATTTAAATTGTAGTAAAAATTGTAATGGTAGTTGTAATAGAAGTAATGGATATTGTAACAGTTGTCTATCTGGTTATTTTAGTGATAATTGTAACCAAAAATGTAGTATACATTGTAATGGTGATTGTGATAGAAGTACAGGTAATTGTGGTAAATGTAATGAGGGGTATTTTGGTGATAATTGTAACCAGAATTGTAGCATAAACTGTAATGGCGGATGTAAGAAATCATCAGGAAGTTGTTTCGAATGTAATGCTGGTTACTATGGTGACTATTGTAAACAGCAATGTAATGATAAATGTATAAATAATGAATGTTTACGAAATGGTCAGTGTAGATTTGGATGTATGAATGGTAAAACTGGTTCTCAATGTGATGGTAATTGTAGTAGTAATTGTACTATTTGTTTACAAACCGATGGTAATATCTGTAAGGAATGTAAACCAGGTCTTTATGGTATATCTTGTGATAAACTTTGTAATAACACTTGTAAGAAAGTTAACTCTAAACCAACCTGTAATATTACTACCGGAGAATGTACAACTGGATGTGCTAAAGGATTTCACGGTAAATACTGTAGTCAGAATTGTAGCCGTAACTGTTACAACCAACTATGTAATCAGACTACAGGTTTCTGTAAAGATGGCTGTGTAGATGGTAAACATGGTAACAATTGCTCATTAGGTATGTCTTTCGAGTTTTTTGTTTTTTTTTATCACGATTTACAAGGCCAATGAAATTATTAAGTAGGATTGGACATAGGGTTGATTATTAAAGATGGCTTTCCTTATATTTAAGGTCAAAGTAAGCCAACTATCAGATTAATTGGCCTTTCTAATGAATTATCTCCACTGTGCCTCTGTGTATTCATAGTACACAGTTTCTTGCTTCTAACTGGTCCTATTGTTTCCATCATTGATGTAAAATATTACATTGTAGATTGTAAAGCTGGTTTTTATGGAGCTAATTGTCTGAATAAATGTGGACAATGTTTTAATAAAACTGTTTGTAATCTGAAATCTGGAATTTGTGGCATGGGATGTCAGAGTGGTTTTAAAGGGATACGGTGTACTACTGGTGAGGATTATTCATAATTGTACCCTTCAATGTTATTATCTAATAGCAGAAACGTCATGTTTAATATCGCCAGTGCACCTTGCTGCTTCTCTTAGGTAATTTTGGTCTCTAAGATCAGCTGTACAGATGCATATTATTGTTTATAATTATGTCTTAACATAAAGCCATTATCCATCGAAAGATTTCTCATAATTTCTTGATTCAAACTTCAGACCTATGTTTTTAGGCCTATAAACACAAAAACACACATCTTGAACGATTGTTTATAATTGATACTGATATTTGAATATATTTAGAAATATCCTTAAAAGTGTGACATGACCTCTGGTCAAGGAGTGAGTTGTATTTGATTGTATAGACCTTTATTCTAGTTAATTCGATTGACAGTATTTGTTTTTGTCGTTATAGCAGAGCTACTTGGATCATCAGAAGACACAACTATTATAGCAGCTGTTGTAACAGTGGTGATAGTACTTATTATAGCTGTAGTGATAGCTATTATTGTAATATTATATAGAAGGTAACAAGTAGTCCCCATCTTTGATAACGGTATACATCTTTGTGAAAAAGTGTTTCAGGTATCGCTTTTTTACTCGAATGCAGTGCTTTTGTTCTATAAACTTTTGTATGACATTGTATCACATATCATTAATATAACTTGTTGTTTATCATAGTCATTATCTCAATAATTTACAATCAATTCTAAATTGTCTAGTTATCAAACGCTTTTTAATTATATGATATCTGTTCTACCAATACTATGGGGTTTTTTTCACTTCAGACGAAGAGCAAAGCGCACGAGTGAAACTAGTTTGTCAACACCTTTTTCGGATGAAATTGATAAAATCAATCCTGTTTATATCGAAGGTTTGAATCTGTGTGTATGGTCTTTTGATTTTATATCTTTGAGAATTGTTTTTATTGAAAGATTCTTATTTTATCCATATTACAAACTAATGGCCCGATTTATCGTATTACATTGGAAGCTGTCTAATTAAAAACAGTTTCATAATATGTATCATCATTCAAAATTAATCATTCAATTCAGAACTCTGCGAGCAATATCTACACACAATGTTTTGTCCAAAGTTTTATGCCGAAATTACTAAGGGAATCCTTAAATTTCAAACCCACAACCGACCGTTTCTCTTCCAGAAGATCAAGCCCTTCATGATTCCCCACCAACTGTGTATGCCAATGTACCATATGCCGGAAATAACACAGATAATGAGAGTATACCAATCTATCAAAATGCTACTATGAGATCATCTATTATGGTAAATATTCCCGATCTTTGGGGATATACCCAAGACAAAAAGGCTGCTGCTAAATTTTCAGACGAATTTGAGGTACTATTTATTGTTTTGTAACTTCTCATTAGTGGATGTCGAGGGTTCTTCTCAGGGGCAATTTAAAATGAAACTGATTAACTTGAGCATGATAAGTAAAGGTTCCAGTGGCCCCTAGAATTAAACCGATCATGAGTATGAAGGGTTGATCTAAATAGGAATTTATTTTCTGTGAAGTTGTTCATGTTATTTATCGACCTTTTAAATCGTTTTCAGAAATTACCCAAAGATCTGTGTAGGCCACACGATATCTGTTTAAGTGAAGTGAACAGAGGAAAGAATCGATATAAAAACATATGTGCATGTATGTAATGCTTCATTTATAAGATCACAAAAGCTTTGCTTTTAGTGTGATTCTATCTTCAAGCCAGTTTGCTTACTTTAGAATAGAATATTTTCTATTCAAAATGCTAGTTCATTTGAGTATTTTGTGTAAATGTGCAAATTCCCCCTCTTGACCTATTAACAAGTGTGGTTTTGAAAAATTGTTTTATATTTTAGTTGATGACACCAGAGTGAAAATACAGCAGATAGATAATGATCCTAATTCAGATTATATCAATGCCTGTTATATTACTGTAAGTTATAGTTTTAACTGATAATAATCTTAATTCAGATTATATCAATATCTGTTATATTACTGTAAGTTATAGTTTTAACTGATAATGATCTTAATTCAGATTATATCAATATCTGTTATATTACTGTAAGTTATAGTTTTAACTGATAATGGTATTAATTCAGATTATATCAATGCCTGTTATTTTACAATAAGTTATAGTTTTAACTGATAATGATCTTAATTCTGATTATATCAATGTCTGTTATATTACTGTAAGTTATAGTTTTAACTGATAATGATCTTAATTCAGATTATATCAATATCTGTTATATTACTGTAAGTTATAGTTTTAACTGATAATTATCTTAATTCAGATTATATCAATGTCTGTTATATAACTGTAAGTTACAGTTTTAACTGATAATGATCCTAATTCAGATTATGCCAATGTCTGTTATTTTACTGTAAGTTATAGTTTTAACTGATAATAATCTTAATTCAGATTTTGTCAATGTCTGTTATATTACTGTAAGTTATAGTTTTAACTTACAGTGATTTAGAATATGTCATTGTGTGTTTTATCACTGTAAGTTATAGTTTTAACTGATAATGATCTTAATTCAGATTATATCATTGTCTGTTATATTACTGTAAGTTATAGTTTTAACTGATAATGATCTTAATCCAGATTATATCAATGTCTGTTATATTACTGTAAGTTATAGTTTTAACTGATAATGATCCTAATTCAGATTATGTCAATGTCTGTTATTTTATTGTAAGTTATAGTTTTAACTGATAATAATCTTAATTCAGATTATATCAATGTCTGTTATATTACTGTAAGTTATAGTTTTAACTGATAATAATCTTAATTCAGATTTTGTCAATGTCTGTTATATTACTGTAAGTTATAGTTTTAACTTATAATGATCTTAATTCAGATTATATCATTGTCTGTTATATTACTGTAAGTTATAGTTTTAACTGATAATGATATTAATTCAGATTATAGCAATGTCTGTTATATTACTGTAAGTTATAGTTTTAACTGATAATGATCTTAATTCGGATTATATCAATATTTGATATATTACTGTAAGTTATAGTTTTAACTGATAATGATCTTAATTCGGATTATATCAATATTTGATATATTACTGTAAGTTATAGTTTTAACTGATAATGATACTAATTCAGATTATATCAATATCTGTTATATTACTGTAAGTTATAGTTTTAACTGATAATGATCTTAATTCAGATTATATCAATGTCTGTTATATTACTGTAAGTTATAGTTTTAACTGATGATGCCAGTTCAGATTATTTCATTATATATTACTTAAGCTATAGTTTTTATCTTAATCAAAATATTTCCTTTTTGTGGAAATCAAAATTAATAATTGTCAAGAAAATTGTAGGAAATAAATTATTTTCTTATAGAAATACGATACAAGTACAGAAAAGAACATTGCATCTCAAGGTAATCCTTCAGTTTACTTTGACTCATATCGTTCGTGGTTGAGAGCTTTAAAGATATTGAAAAATCCATATTTTCAGATTTATGAAAGAGCTGCGTTTTATTTATTTAAAATTCATTGTTTTCTGTTGTGAATGGATTGTTTTCGCAGGGCCAAATGAAGTTAATTTGGAAGAGTTTATAAGAATGATATGGGATGTTGATGCTAGTAAAATAGTTATGCTAACAAATCTGGTAGAATTAGCTGTTGTAAGTAGAAGCCGTGACTTAAAAATTTTTTTTTAATTTAACTGTCAACGTATATCTACGGATGGATTGGTAATCTGAATAACAAATGTTTAAATGTTTACAGTTCAAAGATGCAAAATAGCAATGACAAATGTGAAGTCATATTTCATAAGGATGACTGCTAAGGTCTTCATATCTTGCAGTTGTTGCCTACACCCTACGAGATTAAAACCTCCGGAAGCTAATTATTTTTACAAAACCTTAAAATATAGTTGTGACGTAATCCTTTGTTGTTCGAGTTCTATTACTGAACTTAATGGTACTGACAAAGTGCCTAAAGTATCAATGAGTTATCCAAAATGGCGGAGATTTTGGACAATTATTTGGGGGACAACGAAACTAACTACTACAAACTACTCACTGAATTGAACTTGATATCTTTTAATCAATTTATAATAAAAAGAAAACCGTACAAGCAAGACAATTCCGTTTATCAAAATTTCGTCCATATAGCATGGCAAAATCAAGAGTAAAAAATGTTATAGTAGTGGACTCGTCCAATGAGAAGTACCATCAGGTGTTTCGTAAAGAGTAAGCATGATCTGCTTCGCGCGCGACACCCGCCACTAATATCTAAGTCAACATCATGAGATACAATCAGATTTATATGAATGAACAAACAAAATCAGAAAAAAGATGCAAGAAACAGATTTGTACTATTTGTCCAGAAGTTCGCATTAATCCGAATTAATCCATTGCACAAATTTTTCCCTTCCACAATAAAAAGCCAAATACCTTCGCGCATGTGCAAAAAATCCGTCACGTGTTCTAATTCCAAGCCAGTTTTATTGGCTAATATATATCTTGAGTTATTCTTACGCATAATAACTGAGGCTAAAACGTTTTAATTGGTTTGGAATAAAACGTGACTGAGTGTACTCACTGCATGTGCTGGACTGTATTTTAAGTAGGTTAAGGTCTCAAGGCGTTAAACAACTTCACCCATGTCGCAACGGACCTAGCGATCCTAGCTACGGACATTCGATCATTAACCTATACTTAATGACCTACACAGATCCTCTAACATTTACATCGTATTTTATACAGGTTAAATGTTTGAAATATTGGCCGAATCTTGGTAAAAAGAAGATATTCGGCAACATAACAGTCAAACTTCACAAAGAAGATGTTTTTGCTCATTTTACAGTTCGAGAATTCAGGATTTGTAAGGTTTGTACGATCCAAAGACTGTTCTTAGTTTTCCTGGCTATCCAAGCAGACGAATTTATAATTTTTGTCTCCAATCACTGTATATTTGTCGTGACAGTTTTTATTATGGTTCCCTCAATATTGCCAATTTAATTAAATTTGCTTTGCATGGCTTTTTATTAGGTTCGCATAAAGTTCACGAACTATTTTTCACGATTTCATAAAAGTGACTGACAGAGATCTACAATCTACAAGATCTAAAATCTTAAAATGCAACATAACTTCACCAAAGAATACTCTTGATAACATATTGTTTTCTTTAAAGGAAAATTGTGTCTCCAGAACTGTAAAACAATACCACTATACATCATGGCCTGATAAAGGTGTACCATCTGATATTGCTTCATTGGTTGAATTCCGTAATAAAGTCAACAAGTCATCATCCAAACGTTCAGGACCTATGATTGTTCATTGCAGGTAAGTATGTAGGTGAGATAAATTTTGAAGACGTTTGCATCATATTTATAGAGTTTAGGTTTGGAGATATATTCCAGAGTAATAGATAAATGATGGGCATTAACTTCAGATGTCAATTTATTAATTTGCTCAATACAGTAAAAGAAATTTACAATACATTTTTCAGTGCTGGTATTGGTAGAACAGGAACATATTTAGCTTTAGATTATCTCATACAACAAGCTCAAGCTGAAAATTCTGTAGATATTTTTTCTTGTGTATCACAGATGAGACAAGAAAGAGTTAACATGGTTCAGACTGTGGTAAGCCAAAAAGCAACCTGGCTCAAATTGACCTGTTTTCAATTCTCATGTTTTTATTTATTCATAAAAATTTCATAGGTTTGTATGTACAAATGTCAAAATTGAGGAACAATTATATTTAAAGGGACAGATTCGCCATTTTGGGTTGGAGTCTTCAGAAGTACTAGAAATGTTACAAAAATCGCCTTACTCCTTTAAATATACCTCAAACTAGGAATTTCACTTTCTATTTCTACACGTCTTTTCTATATATGGATGGAAAAAAAGGGCAAGTCGACATTTTTATTTCCATACGCGGATAATTCTGGACACACATAGATTTGATGGTGAGCTGTGAACACTATTAATGATTAGTTTAGCTAAAGAATTCCCATATCTGAGACTAAGGTACGATTTGTCAAACTAATGACGAACCTATCCTATTAAGAAGTATTTTTGATTCTACTCAGATCCAGTACATCTTGCTTCATGATGCTCTAACAGTTTGGTATATAGCTGATGATACAACAACATCAATAACAAATTATCCTCAAATATATAATCAACTTCTACAACAAGATAAACATAATAATACATCACAATTACAACATAAATATCAGGTATGTATAATAGGTAGACACTATCTGAACGCGTCGCATACGTTTATATTTGTTTTAGGTAGGTACAATATTTGAATAGAGTGTATAATTGCGTGAAACTGGTGTGTTGTTTATTGTTATTTTCTGCTTGAACTGTTATTGAAAATGTACTAAATATTCTTCGATACGATGCCATCGATTCTCTGGTTAAAAAAAAATTACTACGGCCTTATAAATGATAATTAAAATTTCTGTTTAAGTTGATGAATGAAATAAGTTGTAAGATAGATAAAGATGGTTATTCAGAAGCTCTTAAACCAGAAAATGTAAATAAAAATAGAGATCAACGTGTCTTGGCAGGTAAGTCCTAGATTCTTCACTTTATCAGTGTTAATGTACCTCTTGTTTTGCTGCAAAGTAGGTCTGGAATTTTGCGATGCCTCGTAATGTGATGTGATCTTACCGAATACGGTCTATTGACTGGACTATTTAATATGTATTAAACTTTTTGTATCAAAGTACCGTTGATATATAATGGAGTAAATGCTAATTCTATTTTTTTTCTTAATATTTCAACTAGCCAATTCCAAGAGACTATATTTATCTAGCAGTGGTGACTCTACAGATTATATCAATGCTGTTTATATGCCGGTAATAAATTTTACATTAAGTCAACCTTCAATGACGAGACATCTTTTTGATACGCCAACATGAAATGTGGAGCGTATATTGGCGTTACCCAGGTCCGAACGTCATCCCATAATTGATTGTAACACTATTATAGATGGTACAATTCTCTTTGGATTTTTACGGAATATACCGAAATTGGTTATTATCACCCATATTATTACCTATTGATGAGCCTTTTGAAAATCAAAAATTGCCCATGTTCTTGAAAACGCGTCCAAGTTTTAGCTCGTTAATATTTATAAGGAATACTTCTTGACGGATTCTGATGAAACTCCTTGATAGATAAACCCTATTGAAATCAAAGATATCGAAAAGTATTTGATGTGAATTATTTTTCTTCAAAAGGCGTTCAATATTTAGCTCGTCAATTAACAAAACTTGGCGAAATTGTTCATTTTCATCCGAGGATGAAGATCTCTGTTGAAAATTAATAAAATCGTAATTTCCTGAATCGTGTTTTATGAATTATTTTTACTCTTCTGCCAAATATTTTCTTATTTAAAACAATGCTGCCAGTGGTTGTATATTAATTTTTCCTTGCAAGTTATATTTATCTTTGGAACTAAAGTGTACATAATAATCTACAAAACATAAATTGGTTTATCTATCTGCAAACCAAATAATATGTCAAAATCTAAAATCGTAAACGGATAACAGTGATATTGACTACAGATGTATTTATGTACAAATCTTGATATTCACTCAAATGTTCATTTTTTCGCCTGATTATACCACAATACAGAAGGTATACTATATAGGGTAAGATTATGATAATCATTGATACATCGACAATTTATATAGCGGCTCAGTGTCCATTCTTTTCCTTGTCAATATGTGGCAATCTTATACTTATAATAACTCTTATCAATGACTGTCTCTATTTCAGAGCTATAAGAAAAAAAAAGGTTATGTTTTGACGCAGTCTCCTATGTCCACAACTGTAAATGATCTTTGGAAAATGATCATGAGTTGCGAATCAACTGTTATCATTGATATGGAACCCCGAGCAAAATCAAAGGTATCTAAAAGTTCTCAAATCAGAATAAAAAGGAAATACCATCCAGGTCCAGATTGTTTATTTCAATTTCTCAATGAAGTATTTGTTCAACCCTTCACCTGTACATTTGGGAGAATCAAACGCACCCTTCCCAGAAGTGATAAACAAAACGGCCTTTATCATGTGGCCTTGAGTTTGTTTATTTACGCTCACTAGTTTTTTGAAGAACATATAATCAGATGACTAAGAATAAAACACACTTCATTCTTTCAATTAATAAAATTTCCTTGTATTTTTGTAGGATATTGGTAATTATGTTCCGGGTGAAGACGGTTTAAATATAGAATCAATGTCAATCACAAAAGATAAAATAGAGGAACACGAAAGTGGTTATTTTGATGTTATAACATGTACTGTCATTGATACAAGTGGTTCGGTATGTAATTATGTAATTAAGTAACCGAATACCGAATATGCTGTGAATGTTTTAATTTTATTATAGTTATTCGACGCAATTTTGTTTCTGTTTTACTAATATTTTGACTCACCCAATGAGTTCTGTAAACTTTCTATTGAATCCGAGCATTTCAACACATACAATCGTTAGTTCGTAATGGGTAAGACTACAGGACATAGAAGTAAATAGTACTGGATTCATGTCACCATTTTCTATTGAGCTTTTCTCACAATAGATTTCATCTTGTGTTTGTGACTCCCGACTGCAGGATAATTTGAGAAGTTTACAAAGTTTGTAACCAAATTCTTTTGTTACTCACAACGGATGCTATGAGACTTACTTGCTGAGTATGCAAATGACGTTAAGTTAAGATGTGTAGGTGTTGCCTCTACCTATTGATAAACTAATTGTTTGAATTACCTTTAGGAGGATGTAAAGAGAATTGTTAAAATCTACCAGTGTCGTTACTGGGATACCGATACCAAGCATCCTGATTCTTCTATACCAATTTTTACATTGTTAGATGAGATTTATCAATGGTCAAATATAGATAATCTTGGTCCTTTAGTGGTCCATTGCTTGTAAGTATCTGTATTTGTATTTGTAAGTATATATTTATCTTTGTATGTATAATTATGGTACATGTATTTGTATGTGTAAGTATGGTATCTGTGTTTGTAAGTATAGTCGTATGTTCGCATTTATATCTGTAAGTATAGTTGTAGTTATGTCTGTATTTGTATTTATACTATCTTTATTTGTACCTAAAAGTATAGATAGTTCCATCTTTATTGTTGTATCTGTAAATATAATTCTTTCTGTGTTTGTATTTGTACATAAGAGGCCTATCGGTGTTTATATTTGTATCGGTAAAATAACCATGAAGACTTTTTTAATTTTGGCAGGAATGGTGCTAATAAAAGTGGTCTGTTGTGTGTTTTAGCTGCTATCTTAGAAAGATTAACAATAGAACAAGATGTTAACATTATTCAAACTATTTTACAACTACGTATTTCTAGACCAGAAATTATCAATTCTTTTGTAAGTTATTATTTTATCTATATACCTACCATCCAGTATAGGAAATCCTAAAATGATATCGAGAATTTCCTTTGATCATTTCTCTGTAAAAATGATTGTGAAGCGCTTAGTTGTGATACAACAAGGTTTAAATTGAAGTTATAGTACGATTTACTTGCCCTTCAGGTTCAGTGTTTAAAGCAGTTAACTCATGAAAACACTTTTCACTCTGCAAAATGATAAATCGAAAATTCGGGGAAGTATTGAATTATCAAAGTAGTAAAAATAAAAATGTAAATAGTTGAGGGAGGTTAATTTTTTTATTAATATTTTAAATGAATATTGTGATATTGTCATTGTTTTATATTTCTTGCAGGAACAGTTTCAGTTTTGTTTTGAAGCAATTGCAGAATATCTGGATAATTTCTCAAATTATGTAAATTCACGTTGAATACATTCAACAATTTTGACACCAAAATTATGTCTATTGATGTCCCAGAAGCAAGTTATGACAGAAATAGTATTGGGAATGGCTACCATTTTGAATTTGGTTCATAACAAATGTCCCCAAGGGTGCCAGAAATATGTTCGGAAAGGCTATCTGAAGTAGAAAAAGCTTTATTGTACATTGTATGTACTCAAAGAGCAAGAGACTGTATTTCATTAGTAACTTTACAAAGAAATGGTACCCGATCCAGGAACATCTAACATGAAAAACTTCGAATTTAAAAGTAGGAATTAGTGTTAAATTATATGATAAGCATGATGATTTTGACTTTGCAATCGTCAATTTTCGTTTAATGTGCAGAAACATTCCCATTCGTCAGCTTATGGAGTATTTGTTTCTCAATTGGTTGATACTCTAGAGCATGTTCTTTCTTCGGTGATTGTTTAGCTAGATCGAAGCATTTAACATCGAAGCTACTACTGCAAGGGTATTTACCTATTTGACTAGGATTCTCGTCTATGCTAATAACTGGCTACTTCCCATCTCATCCAGTAGATATTATTTCTGAATTTCTTGTATAACATGTCCTGTATAGGGGTTTATATCTTCTGTATATGATACAATGGTAACTAAATTTTAGATTAAAAATAATCATACTGTTATATAATTATCTTCCTTGTTCTAAAGTACATTGATGTGCGAATCTAGGAATTTCCTCATTGTCAAATCATATTTGGCACGAGACCATTTTCACGCCTATAAATAATTAGCATAGCCTTATTTGGATTATTATTATGTTAAACCATTTTTATATTAGTTTTTAAACACATTTGCCAGACAGGTGAAATGACCATTTCCAATTTTACGCAAAGTAAAAAGTAAAGGGGGTCTTATTTATCAACAGCATTCGATCTTTCAGTAAATAAAATGTGCTCTGCATTATTTAATCAGTGGTTCTTGCCCGAGGAACTTTCAGAGAAAAAAGGTTTAAAAACCCAACAGAAAATAATTTAGAAACCGACAAGGACTGTTTGCTGTTTTTTTCTCTTTCGAAAAAACAATAAATATAATGAATGACTTTAAGGTTTCAAGACTTGGTCAGTTCATCAAACAGTGAGTTTCAGTTAGTATTTGAAACTTTGCTATCAAGCAGCTTGGATATCCACGAAATCAGCCGGCGACCAGTTAGCTAGAATTTATATTTGATAAGGCATTCTGGAGTCAAAAGATAAGTACCCCGTGATTTTATATACAAATTCCCAGGAATTGTACATGAAAATATCCCACGTACATTATACGTACATTATACGTACATGTATTTAAAAGGGATATTGTGAAATATTAAATCCCACCAGAACAATGGGATGACGTCACTAGAACATCATAATTATTGTATATTTATTGTATTTACATGTGTTTCGATGATCAAGATATTATTTTGTAGTATAAAGATTTACTAAGACCTTTTTAATGATATTTATAATTTATAGTTGATGAATAAAATAAGTTGTAAGATAGATAAAGATGGTTATTCAGATGCTCTACAACTAAAAAATTAAAAAGAGATCAACATGTCTTGGCAGATAAGTCCTAGATTCTGCACTTCCTTTTATAGTGTTTATGTACCTTTAAAGTTTTGGTGAAATTGAGGTCTGACTACGGAGCCCGTTAGGCGCAATTTTCCGTACTTTTATAAAATATTTCGTTTAAACGAAATAAGTTATTCGATAAACGAAATAATTAATTTCTAAGATTAACTAAGAGGCTCCGTATCTAACAGGACCTGTACCAGTTTTGTGGTTAGAGAAGCTGGTAAATTGAAATCGCTCATTGTTACCTCTTTCATTCCTAATTCAATTTCAAATTGTAAAAAGTATTGATATAATAATGGAGTAAATACTCATTCTAATATGTCCACTTTCCAAAATATATCTTAATATTTCAACGTTCTTTTTATTTTCTAGCCAATTCAAAGAGTCTATTATTATACTACTATATAACACTATAATACTATTATTATTATTATATCAATGTTGTTAATATGTCTGTAATATATTTTATACATGTAATAAATAACCCTTCAGCTACGAGATATTCATTTTATCTATAGAACTAAAGTGCACATATAATCTATAGATATCTACAAAACATAAATTGTTTTATCTATCAACCAAGCCAATAAATATCAAAATATAAAAAAATAAAAAGTTAATAGTGAAATTATTTATATACACAACAAAACTTGATATTGAATCAAATGATCATTTTTTATTTTAATTTGTATTGCCTTAGTATACCACAATACAGAAGGTATACTATATAGGGTAAGACTATGATAATCATTGCGATATATCGAAACAATTTATATAGCGGCTCAGTGCACATTCTTTTCCTTTTCAATATGTGGCAATCTTATACTTATAATAACTCTTATCAATGACTGTCTCTATTTCAGAGCTATAAGAAAAACAGTGTTATGTTTTGACGCATTCGCCTTTATCTACAACTGTAAATGAATTTTGGTAAATGATTATGAACCGCGAATCAACTGTTATCATTGATATGGAACCCCGAGAAAAATCAAAGGTACATCATCTTAAAATTCTCAAATCAGAACAGAAAGAAAATAGCATGCAGGACTAGACCGTTTATTCCAATTTTTAATGAAATATTTATTCCCAGCTAAGACTGTACAGTTGGGAGAATCAAATGTACACCTCCCAGAAAAATAATAAATACCAATCTGTATAGTTATTTGGCGTCTCGAAAGCAACATTTTAAAATGAGTTAAGTCATTTTCAGTTTTTTGAAGAACATATAATCAGATGACTAAAAATAAAACACACTTCATTCTATCAATTAATAAAATGTCCTTGTATTTTGTAGGATATTGATAAATTATCCTATACCTGATGTCTAAAATAAAAATTTCAAATTTGTTTTAAACGAGTTTTTTTCTGATGTACTGTGTCTATGATGCATTCTAGATCCAAAAAAAAAATTTCATTTATTTAGTTCAAATCCTGATTTTTCTATACCAATTTTTACATTGTTAGATGTGATTTATCAATGGTCAAATACAGAATAACCTCGATCCTTTAGTGATCCATTGCTTGTAATATCTGTATTTGTATTACAGTATAGTCACATGTGTGCTTGTATGTTGTAAGTAAAGATCTATCTTTTTATTTGTATCTGTAAGTATAGTTGTAGTTGTATTTGTATCTATACTATCTTTATTTGCACCTAGAAGTATATATAGTTAAATCTAAATAGTTTTAGTAGATATAGTATATATAATTTTTTTATTAATATTTTAAATGAATATTGTGATATTGTCATTGTTTTATATTTCTTGCAGGAACAGTTTCAGTTTTGTTTTGAAGTAATTGGAGAATACCTGCATAATTTTTCTAATTATGTAAATTCATGTTGAATCTATACCCAAAGATACATCATTTTTTATCATATTTCCACAACATTAAAATAAAGTAAGTTTATCGCCAAATTAAATTGATAATTAGCTGATCCTTCAATATATACTATATATAAATAGCAATATAATTTGCATGCTTTGAAAAAATGATCTTTAGACTCTTTAACGAGTCTAAACAGACCTATACACCCTTAATATAATCAAACTTAGATTACAATTTCATTTATTTTTTTCTGATATTTTTCGCCTCTATTAAAATCTAAAACGATTTAAATATCCGTGTTTAGACAACCACAAAGTCCGAGTCCGGACCGAGCACGGTCCACTTCAAGCGGGCCAAATTTTATGGCATTTTAAAATACAGCTGTGGTGTGCCAATATCCAACATAATGTTTCTGGCAAATGGCCACGAGTCCAATATTGACATTAATAACGGACTCCAAATATTGGGCTCTTGATCCTTTGCCAACTGTTGTATAAATGTATTCACGATTGACTCGGCATCAAATAATATGTGAACACTAGTCAGATGCGATGATACAGTCAAGGGAATAAGAATTCCAACAGCTCGGTCATCATGATCACTAATTGCTAATAAAATTTAATAATGCAAAGTGTATGTAAATCACGAAATGATGCCGTAAATGTCCTGATAACGGTGTATTTATTCTAGTTCCAAATTTGCTTTGGATGGATTCTGCGCCTTCCTAGATTAGATAAATTTTACAAGGGATCCCAAACATCTATAGTGCCCCATTAAATCCAGAAAAGGGACCCCTAAATACATTCTTACTAACTCGATATAAGGTCAATTGCAACTAAAAGTTGTAATGCCTTTAAATTACTTGTACGAATGACAATCCATTATATAATAAAACAGCAATAACAAAATAACATGATAAAAATAAAAACTATTTCTTACACACTCAATACCAAACTTTCAAGGACTTGTATGTTTGTAAAATAAGTGAATACATGAGACACCATGCTATAATAGTTGGTAATGCATATTATTGTAATTTCACCGATTCATTTCGTTCCTTATTATTCTGTAAACTATTTATATGCTATGAATAGAAACTCTTTAGTTAATGTAACTTCCTTGTCATACATATCACATATAATACATTATTAAATATACCTGCATATCACTTCGTTAATAGAATGTTAAACATGGATAGACTTGTGACCGTCTTTAGCAAACTATTGTTTATAATTTGTTTACTTCTCATCATCGCCAAAGGTAAGAAAATGGTTCTTTATTATTTTGATTGTGTAGCAATAGTAGGCTGATGGCTATAAGCATTATAGTCTGAAACATCTGCCTCTATTCAATATTCCATATAATAACAGTTTTCGGCTGGGGTAGAGTCAGGAAAAATAGGTCAAGTGAAATGGGATTTTTTCACACCTCCGAAGATGCGTTTTTTCTCATATTATATTAAATTACCTTTACTGTAAATTAGTGTTGGACATCGCCGTAACTTTTGTTTTTGTAAATATCACGTGACGCTTGGCTGTGCATGCATTTTTAAATAACTTTGATGGAATCGGAGACGTAACATAA